CATATATCTAAAAATCTATTTTCTGAAATCATTCAAAAAAGTATTCACTGATGGTCCTACAACCAGAGATAGTAAAATATGTTATTTCGATTCGTATTGGTGAAATGAAGAATAAATATTTTATGCAATAATTTGAACGCGAACTGTTCAAATTAAATTGCAGTAGTACTGTTTCAGTTTTTCGCTGCGAATTAGCACGGTCCACGTCCTGGGAATAAAGTTTGGTCCCCGGGTGTGTCGTTCTTTTCGGGCGTTAATATTTCAACTGACCGATCGAGCGTCCCCGTGGGCCTGTCGCTAACTTTCATAATTCATCGCAGCCGCGTAACAACCCTTCTCCCGATCCGTTGAAGAGGGAGGCGCGACGCGTTGAATCAAACTCTAATCCGGTTCTAAATCGGAGCGGCGCGATAAATCCGGCATGATTTAATTACCGAGTCGCCACGGTCCCGTTCCGTAGTATTTAACTTAATCACCGATGTTAATGCGCCGGCATTAATCTCTGAAGTTGTGTCACGTTGCCCGTTCTAACGAGTTTCTTCCGTTCGCGGCCAACAAGACGCCCCCGGCCGATAGGTTTCGCCGCTGAATTGACCCGGGAATTAGATTAACCGTTTCTACGGCACGCGCTTCTTACTCCGCGCTAGGCTTGATTCGTTTCGTGTCAAAGAAATCAGGTCTTAAAGATTGACAGATGAGAAAAGAATAAAACCTCTGTCATACAACTTATTGTGCTCAAAGTGGAACACGAGTTTTCTTTAATAAACTCTTCTTTTATTGTTATTTGCAACAATAGGCTTTACCACAGTGTTTATTAAAAATGCTAAGGGGAAGCTTCTTGTAATTCGAACCTCGCGTTACATATCGCGAGTAATCAGAGAGATCATAAATCAAACAGCGATTCTGCGAGCGGCACTTAGACATTCTTAGACTGCATTATTCATGGAGCGAGCCGAGAAACAAACTTCGGTTCCAAGTCCCGGAGTTTGATCCGACAGATCAAACAGCATCGCGACCCTCCCACCGCAGAGATATACACACACCAGTGAGCTAATGTCTCAAAACCTGCTTTTGAACGGGAACTCTCAGCCGTTTAGATCGATACAGGTTTACAGCTGGCTAGGTGTTTGCACCCCCGCGGCAATTAGACGGCACCCTCGCGAAGAAAAGAGATAAACGGCGGGGTCAAGGCGGCGCAATCTAATTCCCGAGCCCCTCCTACCACGATGCAAATCGAGGCCCTTAACCTAGCTGACGTTTCAACCCTTGACACTCGCCCCAGCGGCACCACCATGCCATGGGGCCGTAACACACCATCCGGCCACGGTACTCCTTCGACTATATCCGTTAACTTAAATTAACCCTCGACCACTTTCCAGACCTCTTTCTATGTACGCCATCGACCCACGTCACTCGTTATTTCCCCTCTTCCCGTCGGGGTTCATCGTCACGAAATTATACTCGCGATGATGAAATCTACGGACTGAATAGTTATGACGGCAATTTTTAGACGTTTTTACTTGCTTCTCCCTAATGAGGGTTAAAAAGTGCATTTGCTTTAAAAAATGCATGGTCTTTTATAATGAAAAGGTATAAATTGTATTATACTACTGTCATTCGAGAAATGATAATACTATTAAAAATTGTATAACTGATCTGAAACAGTTTAGGAGAGGATTCATTCATTTAATAGCAATAATCGCGTTGTTAATCAGAGGCAGGATTTGTGCCGTTTCGGATTTGGTCGGAGATGCCTTGTTACACGCGATATACGGAAAGTTGCGTCTTGGAGGAAGAAAGGGAAAATCTCGAGATCTCTGTAGAACTCCATTACCATATGAAAAGGGGTAGTTCGCGATATCGCGAGACTCTCGATTCTCCACTCACTGGATGTTGTCACTTTCACTTTCTCGTTCTTCGACAAGGGAAACTTCGCCATTCGAGACCGAACGCTTTAGGAACAGTGGAAAACAGGTTTTCGCGACCGTCCCTGCGCGGCTTCAAAATGAAGTGGCTGCAGTAAATTCCGAAAGAAGGGTGAAAGGGTCGAGCCCCTCCTGCGCATGGGTGTTGCCCCGTTCACGGATGAATGTCGCCGGAGTTGTAATTGCAACGAGGCGTAATTAGTTTTGGAAATTTAATTATTTCCGAGCAGGGGGCGGCGATGGTCGCCCCCGGCGAAGCCTTTCGACGAAGAATTATCGGGAGGACTTTCCCACGTAGCGGCCGTTAATCCTGCTTCGAGCGACCTCGAGCCAATGGAAAATCGTCGAGTTTCGAAACCGCGCCGCGCCGCACTGCCTCTCCCTTCGTCCCGTCGGCTTTTCTACTTCGCGTAATCCCGCGACAACCGTCACTCGTCGTTACCTTTGTTAATCAGTCTCGAACTCGCAAACAGGTACCCGGCTTCCACTTTTATCGTTCGATTTTTATTAGCCGGTCTGAGGAATACGCGATTAGGTATCCAGACGGGGCATGATTATGCGTGCTCGAGGAAATTGGCGCGGTACGTCGTGTCGCATTATGGCATGAATTCTTTAGACGCTCTTATGGGATATAACGCGAAGCGTTTCAAGCAAAACGGTACCGAGTTCTCGGCAATTCAATATTCAAATGTACATCATACGAGTAGATTGATGATGCATTTTTTAACTGTTGCTTATAATAAAGCTGATAGGGTATAATCTCAAATGGTACTTCATATTGGAATACTCTGTATATTATCTAACACGCGTTGATTATATATTTAGTTTTCATAGTTACGCGTACTGGGTTAGTTTGCATACGTAGATTGCGTAGTTATTCATTGGTCAATATAAATGCAGCTGCCTGTTGTTTGTTTATGAAGATAATAACTATTATATATAGATTTATCAATCGAAACTTATTATATTCTATTATATCCTATATATTGAGGATGTTTTTACACGGCATAACTCATTTTCATAGAAAAACCTAGCTTACAATGATTGGTTTCTGAACCCTTCAATTTATTATAATAGCATCCTCTGGTTTTTCTTGTTTCACTTCCGGTGAACTTTATTTATGCATAATCTTAAAATAACCTAATAAAAAATGCTTATTTTCCTATATCCAATTTGCTGAGAGCCTTAAGAGAGTTTTAACAATGGACGCGTATATTTCATGTTTAATACTGGACTTACACTGATTGGCTTCCGAGACCTTCACTAGCACCGTGTGATCTTACGTGTGAGAGAAGAAACCATGGTTGTAAACATTCGCGATCATGCATAACGAAGCAGGAATGAATGCAAATGGCCAAGCTATTAGAAAAGTTTCTCATGCGTCATCACCGTTTGATCGCACACCTTCGTGTGTGTGTGTGTATGTACGTGAGATCACGAGATGCGAACATAGAAGCACCGTTAGCGAACGGAAACTGTTGCTTATTCTTCTGCATAGTCGTTTCTCCATAAAATAGCTAAGTATATTTGCCAAAAGTTGAAGAAAGCAAAAATTATCTACAGTGTTTTATTAATGTAATGTCCAATAACTCTTAACATTTCAAACGATCGTTATTGTTTTTATTTAGGAGTGCATAAAAGCTAAATCGTTTTTTCTCTTGTAACGCTTGTAAATTGCGAAACAGGTCTAATTGTATCGTCGAATCGCGAACTGCATGATTCATCGCGGAACAAGGGCAGAATTTTGTAAACGGTTCAGAACGGCGGGGTCGTATAATTGCATAAACGGACGGCGAGCGTACACAATGCTTTTTATATTATACTCGCATCGCGCATGCTAATTGCATTGTCGCAGTGCTCGACGAGTTACAATTACATAGCTTATTGGAAAACAGCCGTGGCCGAACAATATTGATCGAGCCGAGGAAAACAATCGGCCGCGGAAAACAATACCGTGACACCATTAAATAGGCAGCGACGATGATTCGATTTCTATTAATTTAGACATTGGAACAACCCCATGTTTGGGCGCGTTCCCTCCGCCCAATGCGAAAACCCATTGCGTGGCAGTTCGCGGACATTATGCGTGCGCGTCGATTGCGTTTTTAGATATTTATGCGCGGCTCGTGGCTGACGCTCGGCCCTCGAATTTACTCGCGACTGGAGGACTCATTCTTTTGCCGTGGAAGAAGGGTAACTCTCGAGGAGACCAGGAATCCAACGATTGCGTTCTCAGAAATTAATAGCCACGTTGTATGTATATTCGGATTCTTAAGAGCGAATGCGGACGACAGCGTGAAATATTTATTGAAACCGACCGGTGTTACCCCCGGTGCGTTTCCAGTCAACCGGGGGCCACCCGTCTTTTCAAACGGATCTTTACAAAAGCTGTCTCTCTCTCCGCCCGCCCTCGGAGCTTTGTCCAGAACCCCCGCAGCCACGAAAACCTCCCCGGCCCCTCTGCCCGCGTCCACGTCCCTCCGTTCATGAATCTTTGAGAGTTCATCGCGAACCTGGGAATCGGCGCCGCGCTGTCTCTCCTTTTGTTTCGACGGTTTTGGGGCGTGCTGCTTGGGTGTACATTTTCGGGAGACCGATCGATGAGACCTTTTGTATGCACGCGGTTTCGCCGATCTCTTCCTGCTCTCGAATCCTGAAATTTCAGCCGTACTTCGAAATAATAAGTAATCGACAGAGACCGGGTGTTTCGAACTAGCGTTTCGTTTGTAGACTGCAGATTTTTATCTGAGACAAAACCTTAGGTAGAAATTCCTTTTAGCATTTAAGCATCGCAGAGTGCGCTCAGCGTTTGATATTTACAAGCTTTTGTTCATCTTCACTGGTTTATGCGTCGTGAAACTTTTCTATCAGTCACTTGTCACAAATTATTTCCCACGGTTCAATCGGATTTTCCTTTAACGAGAGAGCAGACGGGGAAAATCTGTGAGCCGCGAACGTCGCCCGTGGGAAAAAATGATTCTCCTCTAGAAAAAAGCAATTGAAGCGGGACAACCGTTAAGCGCCTTGCACCATTGGTGAAGAAGTATTGTAACGAAGCCTATTTTTCTGTTTCAGCAATCATGGCGCACTTCTTCTTTCTGGCTGCGTTCTTCTGGCTGAACACGATGTGCTTCAACATTTGGTGGACGTTCAGGTGAGTCCCGCTTCTTCGCTACCCTTTTGTCTGATCATCAATAGAAAGAGCGGCAGACGAGGAACAGTGTGTGTGTGTGTGTAGGAGGGGGACGGGGGGGGGGGGTAAAACGAGTCTGCGGCGAAAGATTTCGCCACGTGTGTACTCTTCCGTGCGACTGACTTCGAATCGAATCTACGAAACGATTGTGCCGTAGCTAAGATTTATTTGATCGTAACCGTTTCCCTATTTCTATTTTTAATTCGAAACGCGACGATGAAACGAACTCGAAACACGTTTATTACACGTTCCAAAAGTTTGCACAGCCAGAGAAACGTCCTAAAAACGATTCCCGACCCACTTAGTATGCAGCTATGCAAAAATTAAATCCTCATTCTACGGTGGCAATTTTCTTTATAGTAGCTAGACAGGACATATTAAAGAATAACGAGTTTATAATTTTCTAAAGAATTAATTTATATTTCTGAGATTTCTAAGGTTAATTTCAGTTCCATTGAAATCTGTGCAATGGGATTTGAAATATAAAAGTTCTTCGCGTCAACCAAAATTCAAGGGATAAACTGCAAAGTGGTCGAGCTTTTCTGTCCTACGTATCCCATCTTATATCATTCTGTCATTCTGTACGCCAGGATTTGAAATCTGAAGCTTAGTTCAAAGTTCAAGATATTTAATTCATGATCGAGGATTTATAATAGGTTTTCGTATATTTCGGGGAATAAATTCGATTAAATCGGAAGAGGTTAAAATTGATTACATCTACTTCGAGCAGGCGAAAAATACTCACAGCGCTTGTACTAATTTAATTTCTGCATCTGTGCATGCCAAGTGGGTTGGAAATCGTTTTGGGTAGCTGGACAACAGAATTTTTGTAGAATTCCCCTAAGGAAATGACAATTAAAAAGCGTGTCGTTCGTGACGTGCGTGAAGGTTCCCAGAGAAAGGTGTGTCGACTCGCAATTAAGCATCAGAGATAAAAAATTATGAAAATTCGCCGGAGCGTAATTGGCAAGAGAATTTCGCGTAACGGGTTTCGGTGCCGGTTACGAGGCGAGAGAAGAGAGCCCGCGCAGGTGGGTTAACCCCGTGTGCAGGTCGTTAATTAACACCCGTGGCCGGGGCAGGTTATCGACCTGGCCGAGTTTCGCCGTCGCGTCTTCGATCAGAAGGCCACTACTCGTTGCCTCCGCAATTACGCAATTGGCCGCACAATTACGCAAGCTGCAGCGGCCTGTTGCCAATTAATTCATCGTAGTTCGCGGTTAAATCGCGTGCAAAGATACCGAACGATAACTACCGACTCGCTCTGCGTCAACTGTACCGCTAAAAAGTGGTTCGGACCCCGTTACTTCTTTCTACTCGCGGGAAATCGCTTTCGCGGAGTCATTGAACCACATAGTTCCCATACGATACATTCTCAAAGCTCGCGTCCGACTTTATTACCCGTTGAATCATTATAATCCATTATTATCCGGTAATAACGGTTTACCGGTCGTTTATCGAGCGTCTGACCTTTATTCGCGAGGATCGTTGCACCTGCGAGAAATCGCCAGAAGCGATTCACGGCGAGCGAATGCGAACCAGAAGCTGAAGATCGTTAGTACTCGGATCACGTTTGAGGATCGCAATAGGAGAAGAAGCGAAGCTTAAGTAGACAGATTTCAAAGTTTTTAAGTAGTGAATGTGGTAATATATAATTTCACCCAGAACGCATAAAAATTATTACTACATGTATATTATTATTGCAAAATTGCGTTATAGATAGACATTTTTGATCTATGATTGTTGATAACAATCTTTATCTTAAAATACATTCTTTTTGCGAAGGAAATGAATCTCTTATAGTAGTATATAAAAATATTGAATTGTGCCAACAAATTTCACACTGTGCGCCCCGCTGTGTTGGTGAGAGATGAGATCAAGATCACTCGGTCGGCTGGTTAATGCGATGCAACACGGTCGCCATAACGGGCCCTGTCCCTGCTCTTCTTCTTCTTTTTCTACCACCTCCTCCTCGTCCCGTTTGATTTCTTTCACCCTTCCATTCCTACCGTCAGCTCGTTTCTCACCTTTTTTCCACTCCAGCTTTCAGCTTTTTCGCACCGCTTCGAGCTCGACGTCTTACTTCTCCTTCGCCACGGTCCTCTCCTCCTCTCTGCGTGTTCCTCGCGTTCGTTCTTCACCGGCGAACGGTCCTGAAGGATCCTGTTTAAACCGTGGACGCGCACCGTTCCACAGCAGCTGGAGCGAGACCTGTCCAATTAAGCACATTAGCCCGTGCATAGATATCGGTCGCGGGTGATTATCCACGCTCGCGGCATCGTTTGTCGATTTTATGGCCATCGCATATCCGTAAAAATGAAAATTGATTTAATTCAAGAGATTCCCTTTCCCTATCAGTAAGAAAAATTCCTAGCTCGATTGAAGAATTGATTGATTCTAATTTTCTTCGTTACATCCCGGATCAGAATTCCTGTCACGATACGTTCCACGCTTCTGCGAACCGCAAAACTCTGATTAAAAAAAAACAGCCGATGCAGCGTACTCGCATCGATGACCCTGACTTTCCTCGGTCCCGCGAGCTTTTCGCCACTTTTATCGACGATTTTCGCGCACCGTGAACACACTCACGCGAAAACGTGTCAGCGGCACGTGTGCACGCGCACGGCCGCGGCCCGGCCGGCCGTGTTGTATCCACTTGTTGAGGTGTCACTGACACGTTGCGTCGCGTTTACGCTAGCTGCTCGGTTCCGTGATTCTCCGGCCGGAAAATTAGCCCCGGTGTGTCATTTGCGGCTGTGCCACGCGATCCACCCTGGCAGAAGTAACTCCGGCCAGTCCCGCGGACCGACGTGCCACGGTCATCCCGGCGAAGAACTCGGAAAGAAACTTTTGACACAGGAGAAACCGTGACGCAACCTGGCAGTAACTTATCGAATTTAATTAGCGGCGTGTTATGAGAGCCGTCATAATTGGCCGCGTTGGGCAACGACTTCGGTTGCCTGGAAAACGATTGCGTCACTGGTATTGGTTATCGACTGAATTTTCTTTGTTCCTGGGATTGTTAACCCCTTTGTCTGCTCGGAAATTCAATATATCCTTTCACTGTTCGTTATTTCCTTCCATCCGCTTCAGATTTCACACTGTTACAATTTGTTACAGTTCGATGGCATTCATTTAATAGAAGAAAACTATAATCGGTGACAAGATAATTGGTCAGTTAATGAATTATTAGTTGAATTTATATGCTGATATTATATACAAATTACTGAAATATGTACAGAGCAATATGAAGTTCTTTTTATTTATGACAATTTTTTCATTTAAATATAAATAAAAACAAATTTCATGATAAGGGTCTTATTTTACGATGTACATGGGCTAATAGATGAAAAAAGCTATAATCGATGATAAGATAACTGTTCAGTTAATTACTGTATCAGCTGAACTGCTACTAAATTCCATCGCATGGTCGTTAATTACTGAGTAGCAGCATCTGGAAGAGCGAGCAGTAACTCTTGCTTCTTACACCGTAGGTGAGCTCCCCTCGGACTTGCTCCTCCGTCAAGCTGGACGCGCGAGTCCATTTTCTGAGAAATTCTTCAATTACCTAACATCAAGCGGCTTCCCACGGTCAGTAATAGTCGCACACACGTACTCACGGTTCTACGAAGGCTGACCCCGTGTTTCTAGACTCGCGAAGACACCCCGCAACTCGCGGGAGCGTTTCTTCTTTCACTAAACGAATTTGCATTCTCGGAGCAGGCTTGACTCTCGCGGTAAGACTCGTCGAAAGATTTGCCCGCGCTCAGGAGAGAAAGGGTGCATGTTCTTTTATCCTCGCGAGCTACTTCTCCTCCTCCTCGGATCCGGATTTTCGCCGGGAAAAATTTTTCAAGGGAAGAAAGAACTCGCGAGACGACGTTACCCGTTGAAATATTATATTTCATGAGAAGCTTCCTACTTCTGCGCATACATTCGTAAGGACAGGAAAATGAGCTGGAAATCCGTGGGAATTCTCAAGAGGAACTTCTCCCATATATTCCCCGGAGAATTTAATCGCTAAGCTGCAAGAAGTTTAATGGAAATCGTTCGGGTTTCCACGGTACCGAGTTTACGATTGGTCTTTGTCATCGAAGAAACGACTAATCTCGAGACAATGGTCGCGGGTCACGGTGAACAAAAGCGGAATGTCGAGGATCGCGTGGTCAAGTGTACCGGCCTGTGCACAGGCGTACGCGTCGCTCGTTAGGCTCCTCACTGTTCTCCCGAAGAGTGGCTCATTAACTTCGTTTATCTCGTCCCCGATAACTGCATCGGGGACTCGGCTTCTTTGGCTCAGCGCGTGATCGCTGCTCCTCCGTCAGTTAATAACGCCATTAGGTCGTCGCCGAATCCCCGGTGTTCGAAATTTGCTCCACCGAAGCAAACCTCGAAGCGACTCGGTCTTACCTACCTCATAGTCTTTAAAGCAGTGATTAGGTACTTGATAAATTAATATTGTTATATGTATATGGAAATTAGTATTCGCTTCGAACGACTGAAATTAGTATTATGAATTGGGTTTGTAAAAATGTATTTGTGAAAATCAGGATTATTTGATTGTCGATCCAATACTTCTTTATTAAATATTGTTTGGATGAGATCCGTATTGGCTAGGTCAGGAATTCGATCCAGTGTTAACCGGTAAATTGACAGAATACGAACCGAATTTGTAATAGGTGTTAACTGTTGCCAAGATTCTCTTTCATAACGAGAGAGTTTACTTATGTCGGTGGTGTAACGGCCCAAGGGCGATACCGAGGTGGAGTTGGCAAGAATGACGGGTAGGGAAGAGAGAAAAAAAGGGGGAAAGGGAGTTTCAGAGACGCTTCGGGGACGTGATCAAGAACACCGGGCTCTGTCCGTCGTGTGGCCGTGCATCCCAACGAAGCTTGATTAAAGTCCCTTCTGTTCTCTGAACACAGTAGCTCATTAATTCCGTTATCTCATTTTCTGCAGTC